CAAATTTTAAATTGTCACTTATGAAAGATTAGTATGCAAAGCAATCCAACAATGATGATTCATTGAGTTATTTATTTATTTATTTATTCATTTTTTTTTTTTTTTTGGAATTACTCTTCGTTTAAATTTCTTTTTCATATATTTAAAAATTTTTTGGATTAAAATTTTATTGTTAAATTAAATTTCCAATAATACAATTTTTAGAATGAATCATTTGGGAAAGATCTAAAATTAAATATGCTTCTTCATTAAGTTACAGTTAGAACTGTAACTTACTTACTGATTCATAACAAAAAAAAAAAAAAAAAACCAATACTAAACTATTTTGATTTCAAAATATTTCAATGTCTCCTTCGAATTAAGCCAAAATTGAAAATATTTCTTAAATTATGCGAAATTTTTTGGTGCCATTTCTATTTGCAAAATGACTGAACGATATATTTGGCTGTTAATTATCAATTCTTAATTATAATATTTATACAAAATGATGTAATTGATAACTTTTGAAATTCATCGTAATATTCAGATTTTGGATTAGATTTTTTTTCTTTTATAAAAAAGTTTATTAAAATACTTGAAATCAAAAATTCAAAAGTTTACGCCAAATTCAGTTCAATTATTTGATATTTACTCAACAAAAAAAGTGACGACAACGCTGATAATATGATAATATGGTGATAATAGGATGATACGGTGATAATGTGAATAACAACATTTAACAAATAAACAAATTTAAATAAATGAATTAATTTTATTGATAACTATCATCCATTGGATAGGTATTCATAAACATGCAAAATTTTGTCACATACAGTATTACTGAAAACATTATTGCAAACATAACTTATCTAATTGTAGACCTCATTTAGTAAATTGAAATTTTTGGTGTGATAAAAATCAAACAGATTACGCTGATAACACGTCAAATTGCTTGATAACATTATCAATCTTAGCACACTTCTAATAAGTCATTTCGAAGTGTAACAAATTGGTTTAATTAATAATTAGAAATAAAAATAGCGCAATTGTAATCGAAATACTGAAAATAATTCAATTATATGATAATAAATAACACAACCTGATTATAGCCGAATAAGATTAATGATAGCAACTTAAATTAAATTTAGCAATTAAAACTTTGCGTGATATTTTCGTAATTAGAACAGATAAAAAAAAAAAAGAAGAAACAAAACAAAACAATTCTACAGTAATCGAAATACTACAATTATTATTTTCAACAATAATCAATTGATAATTAAGTTAGTCAATTGATAATTAAGTTAGCTAAATTGCAAAAATGAGATTAATGATTAAATGTTTCGGAAAAATTGTTTTTTCAGGAAAATTTCAGGAGAACTCCTGTGCAAAAATTCCGGAAAAATTCTTTTCAGGAAAATTTGTTTTAAAATTGCCCTAGATCAGATCAATGCAAAATATTCCATTAATAACAAATAATTAACACACCAAAATAATTGCCATAATAATTCATCATTGAATTTAATTATTATCCGCAAATTTTGTCATCTAAAAAAGTTTCGTCAATTTTCATTTTTTAAAAATTAAAATTTTTAATTGAAATAAAATTTAATAGATGGAATACCTTAAATGATTCGTACCAAACTAATTGTCAATCATTTCATTCAGTATTGTTTTGTTTT